GATCATGACCTGAGCTGAAGGCAGATGCTTAACCATCTGAGCCACCCAGCTTCCCCTCCACTGTTTATTCTTAACCCCTTCGCTTAGAGGTGCCATATTTAGTATATAAAAATATAGGACAATCCTACCCCTGAGGTTGTGGGGGGTGGGCAGTGGTGAGGCCGGGAGACGAATTCATGCGTTATTGGTGCCTGATCATCAGAGTGGCATCTGGAATGACAACACCAACCATGTTCAGGTTGGTGGGGCGGTCCTAGGTCTGTGGACGACAGGGCCCAACCCCCCAGCTTTCCCCATCCCCCTCTCCCCTGAGCCCTCCCTTCCCAAATAGCACCCATGGAGTCGGCAGTTTGTCATACCCTCACCAGACTTGCTGGGCATTTGTGAGCGCCGGGCACTGAGCTGTGCATCTTCTGAGTGCTGTCTTCAGTCCTCATGAGCTGGTGTTGGGGGGCAGGGGACTGTCTCTCCAGGGTCTTCACGGTGCTTGATTCCCACAGCACTCAGGCAACAGGCAGGACTCGTCTTCATGCCCCACCTCGCACATAGGGTCGGGGAGGTCATGAGGCTCGCCTGAGTGGGGACTAAGCTCAGCCTTCTCTCCCGTGGGTGTAAAACCTATGTCAAGGACATGAGACTTGGGGGAGAGAGCTGGTGGGCCCTTCAGCGGCCAGGACAGGATAAGAAGCACATAACCACAGTCACAGCAAGCACAGGCTCTGAGCCAGACGCTATGACAGGACTTTGTGTTGCATTTTATCCTCAGGACACCTTGATCTGGTGTGACTGACATACTATTCAAATCCCCACTTCTGAGAGGAAGAAAAGCAAGGCCCAGAGGGAAAACCTGACTTACCTGCAGCCTCCCAGCTAGGCGGGAGACCCGCTGCTGTGCCCGGAGGCAGCGCCCCTGCTCAGAGCTCCACATTTCAGACGCTAGGGCCCCCAGCACAGACCCAGCATGGCTGGGACAGGAGGGACCCAAACACCCTGCCTTTGCCATGAGCAATGTCTTGCTTGCAGATGCTTCCCCCCTCCTGAGGGCTTGATGTCCAGGCCACGGCCTTCAGCCCTCCCCCACTGCACCCTTCCCCTCTGCCAGCATCTCAGACTTCAGGAGCCTCCAGAGACCCTGCCTGCCTGAGCCCAGGACTTCATTTCTCAGGAAAGTCATTCCCTGCTGGGACCAAAATGAGCCCTCTAGGGATTTTTTCAAACAAAATGGTGAAACACAAAGGATCTTTAGAGCAGCACAGGAATCTGCACTGAGTAATTGAGGATGAAAGGCGACTGCAGACCAACTGTAAAATGCAGTGCCTGCTGGAATCCCCCCCCCCCAAAGCCTGCTGGGAGGACCACTAAAGACCAGTCAGCATTGTTACTGAGGGCCCCTCCCCCTCCAGGCCCCCTCCCACCATCTACCTACTGGCGAGGAGGTGGGGGCTTTGTGAGACCTGACACAAGTCTGCCTAAGCAGAGCCCTTCGGTGAGCACGCCATCATAGGGGCCACGGCAGACCCTTCTAAAATGAAGTCCAATAATACAACTGTATCAACTCTTCTAATGCTTCATAACCACCCCTCTGCCTCTGGGAAGGTCCATCCAGAATTTCTTCATGGCAAAAGCAGAATACTGGAAGATTCGATTGTTGTCACTGAGAGTTGCGAAAATGCTCCCACTACATTGCAAAAGGTGTTTGTCGTTTTACGAATACGTTTCCCATTTTTGGTTTGTGAGCTGTTATTATCCAATGCTGAGTGGCTACTAGCAGCAGACATACCCAGGGGCTGCTGGGAATGGGTCCTTGCCCGCCCGGAGTTCTCAACCCAGGGGAGACAAAGCCACGTTTGAGCTCTTTATGTGCAAAATGTACCAGGTGCTGTCTAGGCAGAGCGGAGAAATCGAACACAGCCTCTTCCTGAGGACAGGCCAGACACGCTGAATGCCTGCATCCTGGTCCGGAGTGACTCATTCAGCAATGAACTGATCAAATCAGAGCTTATTCCAGGTTTCACCCAGATCTTAGTGGGCGTGTCTGTCATTCTTGCCCAAGCTTTGCCTCTCACAAAAAAATGTCAAAATCCATCTTTCCCTTCTAAATGTTTAAAAAATATCCCATTTCCCCAAAAGTTTCCTCTGCCTCTCTTGCTTTTTTTATAAATTCATGACTGATTAGTCAAGAATTGACATAGTTGGTCCATTTCAGTAGTCGAACCTATGTCATTGATTATGTTGCCCTTCTGACCTTGGATTCCAGGAAGCTCAGAGCCAAAAGTAGACCTTGGTCACAGAAGTGAGGATAGCCATTACAGTTAACAAAACTTGTATTCTCTTTTCTTATTGAGTTCTGATTTCCCATTTCAATTTTAATAACCCCACTGTCGTATCTTTTGTTAAAAACCTCTACAAATCCTTTTTTGATAAGAGGAAAGAATAAATGAAGTCAATTTTTAGAAAGGAATCCTCTCAAAATATTCTTGCAAGAGAAGTTATTGATCATTTAAACTATCCTTTTCCAAGGAAGATAGCCTTAATTTACGCCTATGAGCAAGGTTCTCTGCACTGCCACGATGCTCAGACATGAATTTGGTAAATTGATGGGGACAGTTCTCATTGCCTATGGTCTGTTTTCCCTTAAGTGCCCTTAGCAACCTATGTGCAAATCAATGTATCTTGCCAAGATACATTTACGGTTAAGCAATAATTATAATGTGCCTGGACCTGCACCTCAAACCTTTCACCTCAAGCAGGATCCATGTCCCTTTGATCTCCTCCTGATCAAGCTTCTGCCCCAGGACGGGCCCTCACACTCCCAATTTCGCTGAGAAGTAATTTGAAGACCACATTAATGAGCAAACAGCCTGGAACACCCATCTGATTTTAGAAGATTCTCTCAGGCGAGCATTAAATCCTCAGTCTCCGCCACCCACCCCCCTGCCCTGATGTGCGGCTGTGACCGACTAGCTGATTGTGTTCTGCAAATGTTTGTAAATTTCAGAGGCCGTGTCTCCTCCTCCGCGCTAGGGTGAGCTTCCACCCGCCCTGAAACTGTGTTTTCTGAGTCTTTTGTGTCTCCTAATGGTGCCTGGAACATTTTGCACATGATAAGGAACTCAAATAAAATGAACAATAAGCGTCCCCAACCAGCTAGAGCTTTTTATGAGGCTCTCAATGAAAACACTGAACCGCATCAACGTCTGATCAAGGCAAACATCTGGAGATGCCAGTGGCAGACGCCCAATTATGCTGAGGCTGATGAATGGGCATGGAGTTCTTTGGGGCTCGGCAGCATCACTCAGCTGGGCCCGCTGCTACTTAGGCGACAGGCTTCCCCCTCCCGGCATCCCATGCTGGTCTGCAGGGGGCTGGGAATGCTTGCAATCCACCGACCAGCCCAAGCGCCCCCAGCCACCCACCACCACGGGTCTGTTGCCCTGTCCCTGAGGAAGAGGAGGGCCAGGTTAAATGCACTTTCCCATTCACTTTTCCATTTCACAGAGAATATCTTATTTTCTCTACAAAAGTCTTAATTATACCATAGGTACCATCAAATGGCACTAAGTGATAACTAGATGTTCAAGAGGTTGACATGTATATTTTTCAAGTAGCTCCGTGATTTATTATCTAATTTAGGTAAATGGCAAATAGTGCTATCATAATAGCCCCCTTTTCTTCTGGTTTCCGCCTCACTGTCTCTGGGTATAGAATAAGAGATGAATCATCAAACGAGCCCCCTGGGAAGAATGACAGGCTGGCTAAGAGCATAGACCCTCACAACACAGCCATGAGGCTGCAGATCCCAGCCTTGCGGCTGACCAAGGGCAAAAGCGGTGACCTCTGAGGCCTTCTCAGACTAGGACTGGGTTGAGAATTGAGTGAGATAAGGCTCGTGGCACTGCGTGTGGCGCTTCGTTGTACCCCAAGCCGCCACGTTCATCTGAGTGTAGCTGGGTTCGCGATGGGAACGGACCATAAGACCTCCCAGACAGAATGATTCCGTTCGTCTCCTTTAATGAAGCCTGGCCAGGCAGCCGGGGCCAGGCAGCTGGCAGGTGTGGGAGCCGTGCCTGCCAGGCCAGCAGGACAAGAAGATGCAGGGCAGCCATTGAGTCCTAAGGCTGTGACCCCAAACCCTCATCATAGCGCCTGTCTTGGGGGAAGAAACCTTCCTGCCTGCTCCCAAAAGCTAGAGATTAAACAAATGATAAATCCCCAAAGTTAAAAACCAAACCAGAAGAAGAGGGAAATCCCATTTTCTGAAAGTTACCACATATCTGGCTAAAAGCCAGGTTCTACCCCAGCTTGGCCCACGGGGCCCAGCAATTCTGCACTCGTGTGACTGGGGTGACAGAGAGGAAACTCAGTTTCCCCGCTTCTAGTGTTGCCAAGAACAGGGTCTCCCACAAGGTTCCAGGTCCCAATCAAGTGCCAGTGACTTTTTGTTTCCAATTTGGGTGGAGAGCTTTCTTTTCTACGTTGTATTCTTGGAAACATCGTTTCTCGCCGTCATGATACCCCCAGGTTCTGTACTGGGCTGAGCTGCAGACACACCAGCTTCCGGGAGCTCGTGCCTCAGTGGCGGGTGGGCCAGGGACACAGGGGACTCCTCTCCTCCTCCTCCTTGAGAGATCCCGACCTGACCCTGCAGTCCTGCTACCAAAAGCCCTTTGCCAGACCCTCCTCGTGCACCACCCCCTGCACACCCATCCTTGCGTTTCCCAAGCTGTGGTCATGAGGATTCCAAGAGAAAACAGAGAAACCAGGCCAGTGCGGGTAACGTGCCCGCCACCCCAGCCATGCTGACTCCTGCCAGCCAGGACTGGTGCTCCCTGCGAAATCAAGTGCATGGGCTTTCCAACAGCTCTGCTCCTCAAAGCCCATGGCCCCTCTGACTCCCGTATAACTCTTCTCATCTAAGGACGGAGTCTTCCCTCCTCCCTTACAGGAAGATCCGGTGGAGTATTCTCCAGGACGTGATGCCCAGCCCTGGTTTTGAAATGAACCTGGGGTGAATTACCACACAAGTGATCAGACATCAGCAAATCCGTTCTAATTCACTCCCTTTAAAACTTTTGTTTTCTATACAGGATTAGGTTAAAAAAGAATTTAATCACACCAAATCCACTTCCAAAATGGTTACAAAGCCTAAGATCAAGAGGGATGATCAGAAGAAAAGACTAAACCCCTGGTGTTGAGAATTCAGGTTTGGTACTTAACTGATCAAACCAGCCTTCCTGACCCCGAGGAGCAGCCCTCCTCCAGGCTGGGGGTGCTGTCTTCGGTGTTCTCGAGCACAAATGAAGACAGGTAGAGGTGAGAGCAGGACACTTTTCTTTACACGGAGACCAGTTCTGAGGTGCAGCAAATTGGCCCTGGTGTCTACTGTGAGCCAGGTGCTGTTCTGGGTGTCGCGGATCCAGTAGTGAACAAAACAGACAGGAGCAGTGCCTTCGTGGAGCTTTACCTTCTAGTGGAGGAAGAAAGACAACATGGGAATGCATCCTGGGTTAGATGGTGATACTTTGGAAAGAAACGTGGAGCAGGGTAAGAGCGTAGAGGGTGATGGGACGGGGCATTAGTTTGCACATGGTGGTACTGGCTATTCCGAGGGGGTGGCATCTGAGCAGGGACCTGAAGACAGTGGAGAAGGGGGACATCTGCAGGCAGGGTGTGACAGTGGGAGCCATGACCTGGGGCCAGAGGTAGGCGGGCACTGTGTGTGCAGGACCCTGATCCAGCATCTACAAACCCACTCTCCAGCTCATCATCGTACGGGAGCCAAGCCTCCTCACCAGCAAGTCAGCAGAGTGCGTCTCTGCCCGAAGAGCCATCCTTGCCCTTCTCAGCAGCTTCCTGGAAGCCTCCTAACTCAGCACTCATTGGCTTCCCAGGAGAATGATGTTCCAATTTAGGGTTGCCCAATCAGAAAAGGTTCTGGCCAGCCATTGCCTTAAACACTCCGTCATGGCACCCACAGTGCTACATAACCAATCAGACCATTAGAAGGACCCCCCATATCTGCCACCAGCATAAACCTGTCCACTGACCTCATGAGGGCCCTGCTCTGCAGGGCTCCTACAGCTGGTGTCTAGATGAAAAGCCCGACCGAGTCATGATTCTGGCCTAAAGCTTGTCCACAGACTATGACAAATGTACTCTCCAGAGTCAATCCCAGGCTCAGACCTAGCACCTGCATTCAGCCCCCTTCCTGGAACTGGTATGTCTCACACCATCCCCATTTTCCAGGAGAGAGAAATGAGGTCTACCTGGAGAGGTGGGCTGCCTTATCACTCAGGGTTCAATCCAGGAGGCAGAACCACTGTAAGTGTGATGGAATAAGGAATTTATTATAAGAGTTAGACCTTAGGGACGCCTGGGTGGCTCAGTCGGTTAAGCGTCTGTCTTCAGCTCAGGTCATGATCCCAGCGTCCTGGGATCGAGTCCCGCATCGGGCTCCTTGCTTGTCAGAGAGCCTGCTTCTCCCTCTACCTGCTCTGCCTGTGCTCCCCCTGCTTGTGCTCTCTCTTTCTGACAAAAAAAAATAAATAAAATCTCTTTAAAAAAATAAACAAATAAATAAGAGTTAGACCTTAACAATTGTGAGAGGAGCTAGGGGAGCAAGAGCCCAAGAGGGGACGTGGTGGATCTGAGGACGGTCATTAGCCAGCCCTAGTGTGGGTGAAGGGGTGTGGAGGCTTGCACAGAGGTCTGGAAGGCAGGCCCATATAGCGAAGGGAGGCTGGGGTAGGAGCCTAGGAACATCATTGGCTCTCGGTGCCACTGCCTCTGTAAGTTTGTGGAAAAGGGTCTGGTGTGGGCCTGGGATTGCTGTTGGTCAACTCAGCTGGCATGTGGGAAGGAGGCCGGGACAGAATGTTCCATCGAATGCAAAAGTGACACATGCAGTCACAATCACCCAAAATTCTGATTATTATTTTAGCCCTATGTGACTCCCAAACCACCAGTCAGAAGAGAGTCTGTCCCACTCAGAGCTGGCCAGAAGTTTGCCATGTACTTGAGCTATGTAGCTGAGAGTTTTCGGATTCTCAGGCACAGAAGGGGCAGGAATGGCCAGCCCCGCACACTGGCTATTTGCCCAGGTTCTGTTTTGGACAAGGAGGTATTCCGGGTGTCTGGGCACCTTTGTCAGGACTTGAAGGATGAAGCATAGTGGGATGAGGCTGAGGCATGCATGTGGCCAGTCTGAAAGATGCCCCTGTCTGTGTCTGGAACACATGAGTGAATGTACCTAATAATGGACAGTACTAGAAAAGTTCGTCTCTCCCACTTAATCTTTTTAAAACTATCAGCAAATGGGTTCTTCTTGTCTGAGTCTAATCCAACCACCACTGTTGTCTAACTCACTGGACCAGCTTCTGTATCTTGATAAATGTTACTTTAGAGCCACCCTATTGAATTAGGAGCTGCTTATATCTGATTTACCCTGTAACAGGGTTAGGTCCATTTCCTAGGATGTAGCAGAAGGGCCTGATGGTCACCAAGCTGATCCATAATTACCTCTTAAAATTATAGTCCAAATGGGTCATGTCAACAAGGTCCCCCAACTAAGGGGGCACCCCAGTCGAGCTGGGCAAGATTTGACAAGCAGCACCACAGCAGAACCCACGACACCCTCCCCCAGGGCCACATTGCATGTATTTGAGGGTCCCCTTTCCAGAGGCCACTTGCCAAAGGTGAGAAGTGGGACCAGAAGGCTCTGTGGCAGGGTGGACTGAGAAGAGCTCTGGTTTCAGAGTCCGACGGAGCCGGGTTCCAATCCCACCTCCTCCGTGGTGGTCTTGGGGAGCGCACTTCCCCTCTGAGCCTCAGTCGCCTCATCTGTAAAATAGTAACAATAGTAGCTACTCTGTATGCTGTAGTGTGGAGAAGAGTGATGACATCAGGAACTTGGCCTCAGCCCCACAAAGTCAGGAGCTTTGGGGTATCATGGGCATCGCTGACATACCCCATTTGTAATGAGGTGCTTTTCTCTGGTCAAGGTTACTACAGAAGCCAGGTCAGTGCCTGGCTGCTGGCTGAGTCCTCAATCAATGAGGTCAGGCAATGAAAAGCTGAGAGTATGGGCAAGAAGCAGCTGATTGGGTGCCAAGTCCTCCAGGAGAATAGGGACCACCACCCATCCCCACATCGTAGTCAGTTGCCTCTGGGGGAGGCTGGGCCTGCAAGGTCCTTCTGTGTGGGTGTCCCCAAGATGGGATGGGTGGCACTTAGCTCTTCCACCCTATGGGACTGGAAGTGATCCCCTCAGTCCCACTCCCCTCCATCCCAGGGACGGGTGACCAGACGTACAGTGGGGCATCAGGCCAGGGGACAGTGGGAGGAGGATGGCGGCCCCTCCTGCCTAACCCCGCACCTCCACCCTGAACCCTGGGTAGGAGTAGCAGAGGGCCCAAGTCCCCATCTGGGGAAAGCAGGGCCTCCCCCTGCAGCCTAGCCAGGCCTGAGTTTGAATCCTAAAGTGACCTCCCCCACCCCCACCCAGAGGGGCAGTTTTCTTCCTTCAGTGTTTGAAAGAGAGTCCCAGAGCCTCAAGGTGTGGGGAGAGGCTCTGTGGCCTGAGGAGGCCTGGAGAGTCTGCTCTCCTCGAGCAGAGCCAACCGCTACAGCCTCCGTGTTTAAAAACGAGTGAATCAACAGAGGCACTGTTCATCAATATTTTAAAAGAGAACTGTAATTAGAGGTTGGTGAACCCCCACAGCCCCTGGCCACGATGTCAAAGGCTTCCTTGACCTGGAGCCGGGAACAGAATGAAAAGCCACCACAGACACGGTCGGCCATGGCGTGTTTGGCCGCAAATCCCGCTTGCCAGGAGCTCCCCACTGAGGCTCATCAAAGATTCTGTGGCCAATAGAAGTAGCATTTCACATGCGTCCACATTCTTTCATTCCTAGGTGGTTTTTCTTTCTAAACTTGGGACTATGGGCGTTCTATTTTAAGAACATTAATTACTGCCCAACTTTCATGTACTAATGTGAACAAAAAAAACCCAACTTTGAACTGAGGAAAGGAAACAAAAGTAATTTATGGGATAATTTTGTGTTCACATCCCTCAAGGTTGCCTGAGTACATTTGTCTAATGCATTTATTTCTGGTCAAGAGAAGTGAATGGCTAGCTTTTTGGTGGTTTCTGGAGAACGAAGGGAGGGCTGGCCACCTCAGGCCAGGAGCCCTCCTCAGGGCTCAAAGAGATAGTGTCAGGAAGGTAAAAATAGAGTGAGGGATCCAGCACCAGCTTTGACACAGGGTTTTCTCATCCAGGCACTGCCACGTAGGGCCCTCCTTTTCCAGCTATTCTAAGTGAAAAAGGAAAAAAGTAAGATTATCTGAGAATTAAATAAAAACAGTGCTATATTTTAGCCACCTTTTCTGCATTCTCCCGCCTTCTCCCAAGTGTTCGCTTTGGCTCCTCTTTCCTCACCAAGCCAAAAATGGCATGAGTCCCATGGTTCTGTCCTTGACCCCCCGTTGTCCTCCCCCCCTGCCCTCATTCACAGCCGTGGCTTCGGCACGGCGTCCACGTGGCCAAAGCTCAGGCATGTTCCAAGCAACTACCTGCCTCTTGGACAGTCCCTCTCCTCTGGCCCCCAACTTCCCAGAACAGGATCTGACATCTCCCTTTGGAGGGGTGCATTTGGGGCACATTCCTCTCTGCAGCTGTCATTCCTCACAGCCTTGTCTATATGCTGGTGGCCAGGACTGTCGGACACGTGACCTGGTCCCAGCGCCCTCAGAGGCAGGGAGGGGAGCAATGGGCGCTCCCTATGGGATTCTCTAATAGTAAACAGGAGGGGAGATTGGGAAGGCTTCCCTCAGGCCAGGGGGCAAGCAGTGGGGGGTTCCAGCGTGAGGGGACAGTGTGAGGAAAGGCCTGCCTTGAAAGAGACCAGGACCGCAGGAGGAGAAAGGAGAGCTCTGGAGACACGAGCCGGGTGGATAAGATTGGCGAGGCATGACACAGGAGAGGAGGATGGACCCAGAGCACTGGTTTTATCTGGGGGGTGTTTTCAGCTGAGAGGGTACTCGGGTTTGCAAACAGAAAGCAGACTCTGGCTTCTGTGTGGAGAATGAATGGTGGAGGCAAGGCTGAAGGACCCAATGAGAGATGATGGCGCTCGGCCAGAGTGTCCCCCTGACACCCGGAGACCCCCAACGAAAGCTCTGCCTGGCTCCTGCTGGCTTACCCCCTCCCAGCACCCCCAGCTCTCTGCCCAGACAGACGTCCAAGAGAACAACCCTCACGCTCAGGTGTAAGGACAAATAGTGGCACCATCCACCTCAAATCCCTCTGGGACACAGGAGGGTGGCAGCAAAGAGGGGAGGGTGATGGCTATCAGCCTTCCCAGACCTCTGGGGGGGTTCCTCCCCTGCCTGTGGGTGCCTTCTGAGCATTAGGGAGCCCTGTGGGGTCAAAACTCAAGCCAGGATGGGGCCGTGGATGAGTCCTACTCCGAGTCTAGGCTCTGCCACTCTAGCTATGTGATTCCAGAGTCTCCCTTTATACAAGGCAGCCTAACTGATGCACTAGTTCAAACGATTGGGAAGTTTTCTCAAAGCTCCTGCTGTACCACCTGGTACATACAGAGGGAATTGGACGCTTTGGTGACCGACACTCTGGCCTGGCTAGAAACCACTGTATTAATCCAACCTCGGCTCCCTGAGGGCCTTTCAGGGTCTGGACTCTGTGCTCAGTGCTCAGGAGGCTCTAGGCTACCAGTCCGATGCCCGGTGGGTGTGCAATTGAAGGATGGGGGCCGGCAGCTGCAGAGTTGAGCCGTACAGGATGGGTGCCAGGTGCACCAACAGGAGGTATCCCGGACACTGGGGACAGCATGTACAAAGGCACGCAGGCATGAAAGAGCATGCAGTGTTCCAGGAAAGATGAAAGCTAGAGGTCGGGGCCATCAGAACCAATCACTGGGAGGGACGGGGAGCACAAATGAGGCAGAGGAAGGCTGGGCCCCATCACCAAAGGTCCCCACACCAGGCTAGGTAGAGGGATTTGTTCTTTGCGCAGAGGGAGATCTGGACGTTCTGGACAGAAGGGGCAGAGTGAACTCAGAGCGGCTCATGCTGGGGACCCGAGCTGGGATCTGGGCTGGGACCCGAGCATGGCGGACGGCCCACAGGCAGGCAAAGAGTGAGGAGGCCCGAGGAGGGAAGGAAGAGGAGGAGCAGGGACCGGAAATGGACTGCAGAGCTGGGAGTGACTGGCCTTGACTCTGGATGGGACAGGTTGAGGGCTGATGGAAGGGCCAAGGACAGAGCCTCTGCCCACTGACCAACTGATGGGGGCTGGGCCCACTGAGGCTTCCTGGGGACTGAACTCCACCCTCTGCCTTCCCTCCATGGGTTTTAGTCCCCCTCTGTCT